TAATATGATAATCAACTAATAAGATAAGATAAGAACAAGCAAGATGATCTAATCTAATCTGGATGAGACTGCTGTTGCCGAACTGGGTAGGATGAGAATCATTGAGTCACTGCTGCTGCTGGCGGTGGGTCAGGTTCCTGCTGCTGTCGGCGACGATGATAATTCTTCCCGAGGAATGCATCCATAACAATTTATGTTATCATCTTTTAAAAATTTCAGCATTCTTTGGTGTTCCTTACTAAGTTTATTGATAATCACATCCATATTCTATAGATCTAATCAATTTGACCTATATGATAGAAAAACTGGATCTTTTCGTCCCCAATCAAATCATCCTTCTCTAAAGCCCTCATCCCTCATACCCAGAAGCCTAAAATCAGCGTTCCCCCACTCAAGAAACTTAGGATGATCCTATTGCGAATCTATAATGTTCACTTAGTTTAAGGCTGTTCTCACAAACCGTAAACATCCCAAGTGATAATTGACATGTCTCAGGAGTGATCCTAGGTCATCCATCGACACAATTAACTCCGGGGATTTCTTCCCCTTTCCTATCTATCTGCTATGAAGTTGGACCCTAATCAATGGAGTCTAAATGTATATTGGTATACCAACCGAGGGCTGGCTTGTTGGTGTGTTAGTTGGTTTGTTCCAACGTTGACCCAGAATCAAATCCCGCAACCAGCACTTTGGGAAAAAAAGGGGTCAGGGGGAAGTTATTAATGGTGCATAGTACCGAATACCAAAAAAAAAAATATTGGTATGTGCTACTGGAAGTGGACATTACTTATTAACTGATTTATTATATTCTCAACTGCCTTATTTGTTTTTTTTTTCTCCATTTTCTTTTCTCATATTTATGACTTTTTGTAGGTTCAACAAGTGGAGGATCAAGTCAAAGATTTGCTTCTTCGGATACAAGATGGGGAGGTGCATGTACTGCAAAGTCATATTATATATTATTTTGCTAATAAAGACATTCCTGATGATAGGCACTGGGTGTGAACTCTTTTGTGCTAATTTTGGAGACATGCATTTTATATTTCTCTAACGTTTAAATACCTTAACATTCTTATGGTGTTTCACACAAAAAAATCATTTTGTTATATACATATACATATATATATATATTACTGAATACATTTTTCTAGCATCTAAATACCATTGTTTAGAAAACTGGACTGGACCGGTTGGTTGAACTGGTTATACCATGACCTGGCCCTTTGGCCGGTTCGGTCATAAAATGAAAATCATAAGTAAATACATTCACATTATTATGGTGTTTTATACCAAAAACGATCTCATACTTGGCATTATTTAGATTTATATGAAAGTATCTGCTGGTGTTCGATCAAGATTTTATATGTATGTCAAGATGCGCGGATCTCTAGAAATAGACATTTACTACACATAAGTTCTTATACATATTTATATGTATATCTATTTTTTGTTAGCTTTTGCAGTATTTACGTGCCTATTTATATTTGATAGCATTATATTTTATTGTTATTCCAGGCTGTTGATCAAGGGGATATTGATGCTCTCAAAAAGAGAAAGCTTATTGCACTGCAGTAATGATCTAATACTTTCACTTTCATTAATTTTATATATATGAGTTCTGTTGTCAGTTCTGTTATTAATCAATAATAAATTAATAATGTTACATTACCTTCATGAGCTTGCCTACCAATAATCATGCTGATGAATAGTTCTTAGTGATCGGTTTCTAAGCATTTTGCATAATGAACTTCTGATGAGGGAACAGACCCCGTGGATTAAAGAAGTTAGATTCAGGCCCGACATAGGGATAAATATTTCTCAAATTTCTAAACATGTGGTCTACCAAAGATTGGGCTAACTATTGTTAGTGGGTTCAAACCATAGTTGTTGTCAAGGCGACGCCTAGGCAACAAGGTGCCCTTTGAGGCTTGCCTCGCCTAATCACCAAGCAGTTCTGTACTATGTATTATAAAATACTTTTTATTCTTTATTTTTTGACATCATAATTATAAAATAGGCACTATTAAACTAAAATATTCATATTGTGTGTTTATATACTAATTCCTTTTTATTATTTTCTTATTTGTTAGGGTTTAATCAATACAAACATTGCTACTATTTCTTTTCTTCTTTTCCTATAACAAAAATAAGGGTTTGACCCCTATATTTTTTTTAATTTCCTTTTGCATCTTCTTTTTCGTCTCATGAACATGTTGATTTTCTATACTTTAACATGAACTCTATACTGAAAATTATGAATAATTTTTAAGGAAATATGGCTATGGTACATAGGAACTACCCTAGGATCTATGTTTTCTACATAAAAAATTCATTGCCTAGGCGACTAGGCGACAAGGCACCCCCCCCTGTCACCTAGCCTCGCCTTGGCGCCTTGAAAACTATGGTTCAAACTCCAAAGGCATCATCATGGCAATACATATTTACCTGTTACTGTTTGTTTACATGCTCATCTGCTGTTTGTGTTATTGACCTTTTCATTCCACTGCTCTTATAGAACATGGAAGAGCTATTCTCTTACAAAGGGTCCTAATTATGCTCCAAAAAGGAAGAAGGTTGCCACAGATTTGACTCGCGAACATCTACAGAGGTACTTGAGATAACATCTATTCTCTTTCAATGTTGTTCTTATATGGTGGTAATGTATTAGTTATAAACTCCATATCAAGGACCATTAGAAGTCACAGAGAAAGGAATCATCTCTCTTAAGAGAATAGTGTTTCACATATAAAATTGTTGTAAATAAGGCACATGGACTTATAATATCCATGTTTTTTTAATGTCAAGATATTGGGGCCAATGCTTTCATTAATTGCTGTTGATCAAATGGTCTGAGCATATTGGGCATATGGGGGTACCCTGTTCACTACCCACTTTTAATTGTAGTAGCTAAGGTGGGAGGGTTACAGTATTATATATACCGAATATTTATAGGCTTTAGTACCAGAGCCTCTTGCTAAGTCTTATAAACATTAGGGGTAGGATTTATTTTGCAAGAATTGCTTTGGTGTAAGTAATGCAATTTGGTCAAAACAGATCCTTATTGTTCCTTGTTTTGACTTGTTTATAAAACAGTGATAATATATGGCTTTTGACTTTTCATTATTTTTACATTTTGATATTGTTATTATTTATTACACCTGTATCTCTTTTTAGAGAACAAGCAATAAATGAGTTGGGTCATCATGCTGACAGTTGTTTATTTGTTTTGCATTTAATTTTAAGGGGTGATTGGAAGGATTTAGAGTTCAAAGAGTATAACTTCAGTGCTAAGGGCCAGCCAGCGGAAGGTGGCCATCTCCATCCTTTGCTCAAGGCACGATTTTATCTTCCCTTTCTTCTATTTCTATTTGGTTGTTTGTTGATTCTTAAAGCATTGGACTTCTTTTAAATAAGAAATGTTGAGAATTTGGTACTGGAAAGCAAGTTTTTATCTATTAAAATAGGTTAGGAACCATTTACTGGAAAGCAAGTTCTTATTTATTAAAATAGGTTAGAAACCATTGGCTTTTTTTGATGTTAAACGGTTAAAGTATCATTTAAACTACTAAATAGTAAATAGTGCTTGATGTAAGATTCTGAAAATTCTGTTGGCTGCAATACCCTTTTCTTCTGATAATCACCTATCATAACATTAATTATACTAAGTCCACATCATGAAGGTACCTGGTGACAGGTTTTTCATCTGCTTCTTTTTGGAAGTATTGGAAGTTATGTAAAAGAATAAAGTATGTTGTTCGCATGGAGTTGGACAGCATATTTATGGTTGGATTGATGTATGGACTGCAATATTTCTTAGCCAAGTATTGGAGCAATATTTTAAGTAATTTCTCATCAACTTGCATATCACTTATGTTTAAATGATAGACAAAATCATATACGAGTGTAAGAGGATAGGATGGTGATGGTCTATGAATTTCTGAAAGTTGGACTGAGATGTCTACTCTCTGGAGAAACCTCCTGGAGAAAAAGTCTGGGAAAATGTTTAAGGATTTGAGAAATCTGAGTTTATAAAAGTCCCCAAAAGGGAAGTAGGGTTCCCTTTTTTATTGGGAAAGGTGGCCATGCAACTCGTGTACAACCTCGGATAGAATTCTAGAATATATATATATATTTTTGATTAGCAGACAGAATTCTAGAATATTCCTTTTAGGCAAGTTCCTAAGTTAGTATGCCAACTCAGCACGAAAAGTTACAGTCAAGAACATGGGTGAGGGGAGCAGGTACTGGCTTGCACAATTTTCTCTGCCTCTCATGCAATCTCGCCACATGTTGCCATTGGAACTTATTGAGATCATTGCATTTCTCATGTACAACGCACTGGGTTCCTGTGGGCTTAGCAAGCCCCAGGAACATCTACTTGTGGGATTTACATGAATTGGGTTGGGATTTGCAACATGTTTTGATGATTCTGCAGACATAGTGATGTCTATAGTCTTACAACTAGAAAGTATTACAGTGACATGTATAAACAAATCTTGCAATATGGACTGGGTTTGAGTGGCCTTGGGTTAAGCACTTATCCAACATGTTTAGATAAAGGTTCAGGTTCCAACATGTTTAAACACTTCTTCCTGATACTTTTTTTTTTCTCCACTGGAACTAAGAGAAACATCTTTATTTCTTTTAGCTCTGTCCTCTATGTTTGTATGTGTGTGTGTGTGCACACATGTCTGCATGCATTTATAAGTGTGTTCTTCCCGGCTTTTTAATGCTTGGGACTGATCTATATCCCTATTTCAGGTGCGGAAGCAATTGCAAATGATCTTCCTCCAAATGGGGTATGACAGTATACAATCTCATCCTTCTGCATTTGACAACTACTGTGCAGTGTCTTAGAATAATATGATTATAAAATACAAACTCTAACTGTTCCTAATCTACTTTCTGCAGTTTTGAGGAGATGCCAACAAATAACTTTGTTGAAAGCAGGTAATATAATCTATGGACATGTAATTGCTATTGGAACTTTGGGTAACAGATAAGGACTACCTTGTGGCTTCATTCCTGATAGCTGAAAATAATTTTGTAGGATCATGGTCTAAATAATAGGTGCACCCTTGGCAAGGAAAGGGGGTAAATGGTGTTTCCATTAAGATAGAAACGCCCTCGATGCACAAACTCCAAGAGCTGTAAAAAAACTTTTCAAAACATTGTTATTCACAAACTTAAAAAGGAAGGGAAAAATTAGTTATAAAGAGAATATGAAACCTATTTGTTATTCAAGCTATCTATACCAAAATAGTTAGGAAAATAGAAAATATCTTTTAAGCTTGTTCTTATAGTGGGCTTGTTGTAGTGGGCTTCATCCCTTGGCTGGGGTAGCGGGCTTGCAAGAAGAGAACCCACTAAAAGTTGGGAGACATGAATGGTAATGAAACCTTGTTGAGATGTGCCTAAGAGGCTAAGACCCAAATATGTGGGTCTGCTCATTCTGCATCAGCATATCTGATTGAAAATGTGTTTTCAATAGCATCATCTTAAACATGCCAAGTTTGCATTTACCCTAATTTTACATGTCTCCTCTTCTTCCCTCCCCCCCCCCTCCCCAATTTTCCTTTTTTCTTGTGTGATGGGGTTTAGCAAAGAAATTGAACAAAAAAGTAAAAAGAAAAAAGAAAAGAAAGAACACCAAAGGTGCAAACAGAAACCCCAAAGCTACAAGATGAAACGAGTCTGACCTGAAATTCCCTCCCTGTTCACAACTTGGCCCAATTACCTGATAGCACCTCAGACTTATTGTACCCAACAATTGGCCTTTTACTTCTGTCCCATATTCTTGTTCATTCCTCAAGTTTAGTTGCATATGATATATATACATCCTCCTATTTTAATGAAATTATTTTTTATGATTGTTGCTTAAAATATTTGGCTGCTTATGTTGTATCTTATTAGTAAATTCTAGTTTAGGTGTAAGAGAGAGAAGTTAAGTAGGTGGGTCATTTTTCTATGCGAATTTGTGGTTAGTTATTTTCTATTTGTGAGGTAAGTAGTAGTCTCTCAATGCTGGATATTCCCTGTAAATATAGTAAAGTTGGTTTAAATGTGCTATGTTTACTGTTTACTAAAAAGTCACAGGTTCAAGTTTCATATAAGTTATTTTCAATTAAATTCTTGAATAAAATAACAGTCGTTTTCAGTTCATTTTATTAATAATATATAATATTTTGATCACTTTAGTTTAATTTATTAATGCCATTCAATATCCAAATTCTATCTAAATCCAATGGATGGGATTTGATTTGAATCTGAATATTAGCATATCAGATTTGGATTTAGGTTTATCGAATACAATCTGATCTGTTTTCAGCCTGAGTATTTTCCTAACTTGTCACCTTCGTCCTCTTCACTCACTYAGCACTCATCATGGCATCATTCAGCACTGAGAATGTTACCTGGACATACCTGATTCCCTATTTCATCCCTACTCTTTCACCTAATCACCCTACCCTATTTGACCTTCAAAGTACATTACATCTACAAAACTTCTAAATTAATTTCATAGCCTCTCTTTGGTTTCAGCTGTTCAGACATTATTGTCCTAATCTACAGCCCAATTTAGCCCTTAGTTTTCAATTGAAACTAAAGTTACTTCAACCTACAGGTGCAATTTTTTTATTGGCGTTGGCCCATACAATAGCTGTATTCAATCTTTATACCTCTCTGTAAGTGTGAACCTGCCAATCCAAAACCATATAAAGGAAGGTTGTATCAAGTTGGCAGCTAGCATTGAAAATTTTGCTAAACTCTTAAAAATCCTGAATCGTTGAATTGAGTCATCTGGCATTACATTAAAACTGTAGGAGGGTAGGGATTGACACTCAGGGGGGTCTCTGCTCAAAGGACGGCAGAATGGCTCCCAAGAATTGGGTGGCCAGAGGCAGAAGAGAAAGGGGTCCTGGAGAGCTGAAGCGGGAATAATTTTTTTTGGATGAATGAAAATAATTTATTAATCCAGAAGTTAAGGCAATACAGGAAACCCATGAAGAGGCACGAGCTGTTACCTCTTCTAACAAAGTATTACATCAATTAAGAACTGGATAAGCAGAAATAAACAGAACTAAAATTACATAGCAGCCCAAAACAAATGATCCCTTGAAAACCCTTGCTTAGCTAGTCCATCCGTTAAGGAATTTGCTGATCTTTCCACCCAAAGAGAGGTAACTGTCATATTTCTTGTGAGCCAATTGACTTCCCTCAATAAATCTCTATGTCGCCACAGAGCTGAAGCTGGCTCTGTCAGCCATCCCACAACAATTTTAGAGTCTCCTTCAACTATCAAGTGTTGAACTCCTAACTGTTCAGCAATCTGGATGCCTTGTACAGCCGCTAAAATCTCTGCTCTATTTGAGTCTGCTGTTCCCACAGGGCCTGAAAACAAAGCTAAAATGTTGCTCTCTCTATCTCTCAGCACCTCTCCTATCCCCAAAGGGCCTGGGTTTCCTTGGCTGCTACCATCAAAATTCAGCTTTGCCCAACCTTCAGGCGGAGGCTTCCACACTGCAGCTGCCTTGTCCCTCCTCGTATGACTAGTGGCTACTGCCTTCCAATTACTCCAAATGTCATCAAAGGAAAATGTATGAAAGAAGTCCATAGTTCTTAGCCAATGAATGGCTCTAGTCAGTATACAATCTTCAACAGTTTGTATGCTTCTTTCCTTTTCTTTGAACACCCTAGCATTCCTTTCTTCCCAAATTGTCCACAAGGCTGCTGCTCTAATACATCTCCACATCGTTTTTCCTTTGCTTGTAGGCCACACAAAAAAAGAAGGGTCGAACAGCTGACTTAATTCTGTGGACAGATTTCACTTGTTTCCAAACAAAGAAAAAATCCAACTCCAAATAGCACTAGAAAAGGAACAAGATACCAAATAGGTGGGAGCAATCCTCACCACTAGCCCTGCAAAGTACACACCAGTTAGGGGACAAGCACATGAAAGGCCTTTTCTTCTGCAAGCGGTCCAGATTATTGATCTTTCTATAAAACACCTCCCAGCAGAAAATTATAATTTTAGGAGGAACAGGTCTGAACTAAATCTCCTTAGATGGAAAACCCAACTGTCCCATGGAGGGTTTTGGATGAGGGGACCATAGTCTCACATCTGAACGAAGAGGGTCCAGAAAGACACTGCCAAGAAGAGACAACAATTCTAAAGCACTACTAAGTTCAACGTCCCTCAAACCTCTCCCAAAACCAAAGTCCCAGCTTAAGGAAGAGGGTGAGTAATAGAAGGAAGAAAATGAGAGACAGTTTTTTCCTTGTAAAGGGAAAGAGAATAGAGAGCCGGGAATGTGTCCTTAAGGGCAACAGTACCCATCCAAGTATCTTCCCAAAATAAAACAGAGTCACCAGAGTTAACATCATACCTGACCAAGTTGAGAAACTGAGGGAGAACACTCTGAATTGCTTTCCAAGGAGATGCCAATGTAGCTTGACATGATACACCCGCATCCCATCCATTTTCCCGTCTGCCATGTATACTAGTTATCACTTCATGCCACAATCTCTCCCTTTCTCTAGGCCACCTCCACGACCACTTCCCTAAGAGAGCTTTATTCCTTAGAGCTAACCTTCCTAATCCCAGTCCACCCTCCCCTTTACTCCTACAAATTATTTCCCATATGATTAGATGACCTTTCTTTTCCTCCCCAGGCTCCCACATAAAAGATCTCAACCTCTTAGGAACTCACGAGGGAAGTATGGGAAATTTGTTAGAGCCCCGCCCTTCGGGAGGTCCCCCCTATTTATTAGCTTTCCTTGAGGACTTTTTTCTTCCAGAAAGTTCCCTTTTGGCTTTCCTTCTAGAAGATTACTACTGAAGGGCTGGGTTTGGCCTGATCTATGCCATCTGGGCTAGTTAGGGATTTGCCATTTGTCTTCGTGGGCTTCGGTTCTTGGGCACTCACCCTTTCCTGACATGTGCATGAAGACGCTAGTCACAACATCCTTTCCTCAGTCTTTGGCAATCTGGCCAGTTGTTGTCCTTGAGACTTGCAATTTGACATTTTGTGAAATGTATTTTTAAGTGTGGCTGTGCAATATGATACCCCTGGCACATATCACACTTCAGAACGCGGGTCATGATCACTTAAGTTATGCTTGCGATTTGATCATCCAGTGAGATACTTCATCATACAGCTAAGTAAGGTGGTGTGAAATTTCACGCCTGGCTCTTACCACACTCTTACACGCTGTTGGCCTTTATCACACTCTTTGCTATGTGTGGGTTGCTAATCCCTTGCTCTTACAAAAATTCGGTAAGTTGGTTTTAAATTGAATGAAGTCAAAATAAATGGGAGTCATTATACTAGCAAAAAAAAATTATCATCATCATCCAAGCGGACCAAGCCTTATCCCTACTATATGGGGTTGGCTACATGAATCCTGTTTCACCATCCCATTCTGTTTAATGCCATATCCATTGTTCAATATACTAGCAAAAAGTATCTTATCACTAGATCCTAGTAATGTAGGGGCTGGTGGGTATAAAGGTTGGCGAGTAGCCCTGCTTCAAAATTCCACAAAGTAGGCTCCAGATCTAAGGGAAAATCCAGAGAGTATATGCTAGTTTTCTTCTAGTAGTAGTGAACTACTAGAAAATAATAAAAGAAAAATAGAAATAATGTGTTTCTTCAACACTGGTTTCAAGAGAAGAAGAAAAACAGCTGTAGAGAAGGTAACTACTAATTTCAGACCTTAAAAAAATAGGATACTCCTAAAGAAAACAACAGATGATTTGTAAACATTAAAAAAAAAAACTTATAAATTTAGAAACTACTATCAGCTTCTAAATCTAGGTGCAGCCAAATGGTTCCTCCTCTTACATGTGTTAGTAACTTAGGATGCTCAAATCTCTCCAGAAGTTGATTTGTTGTATCTTCTATTTCTGTAGAGTCTTGAACCACAAAACCTAGTTACCCAACTTATTTTAACCTTTATTGAATTACAAATTCTCTCAATTAGAACCAGTCTACAAGGTGGTTCTATTTGATTTGAAGAAACTTATGAATTAAATGCTTTGAAAAACATTAGTTTGCTAATAAGGTGGGGAAAAGAAAAACTGACAAGTTATTCAAGCATTAAACCTTTCTTTCATTTTTCTTTATCATTGTTATTCCCTCCTTTTATGTCCTCATGCCACTACAACAGTACTGTTCGAAGGACATGACCTTTTTTTCAGTTGTGAATTATAATTTTGCAGTTAGCTGAACAAATATAAGTAGAATAGTCTTTTGTGAAGGTTTTCCTGTGTGAGGGAGTGTCTCCTTAAAAACTCGTATATTTCTTCTTCACTTTGTAGCTTTTGGAATTTTGATGCACTGTTCCAGCCGCAACAACATCCTGCTCGTGATTCACATGATACCTTCTTTCTACAAGGTTGGTTGCTCTTGACATAATTTTGCTTTATATTGCATCCTTCTGAGCATTGGCCAGTGATCTTATATTTGCAGTTCCTTCCACTACAAAAAAGCTACCTGAAGATTATGTTGAGAGGGTGAAACGTGTTCATGAATCAGGCGGTTATGGGTCCAGAGGGTATGCTTTGTATTTTTTGTCACAATTTTATGGTAAGGGGTTTCTAAAGGTTGTTTCTTCCTTTTTTTTTTTCTCTATAGATATGGTTATGACTGGAAAAGGGAGGAAGCAAACAAAAATTTGCTGCGAACCCACACAACTGCTGTGTCCTCAAGAATGCTCTACTTACTTGCACAGGTAAATTGTCTTGTTACTTATGCTGCTATTGAATGCCTTAAAAACATTGAAGCAAAAGAAGGCACTCAACTTGATCAAGGTTTTTATTGAACTTCCAACCTTGTATTTCCTGGAGCTTTTATATTAACTGGGGGAGGAAAAATTTATCCCAATTTTCAGGTTTAACTTTTAGGGTTGTTACCCTTTGCCCTGTTTTTCAATGAAATTTGGGGTTGGAATTTCTTACCCTGGTGTCAGCTGAACATCGAGGTTGGAATTCCTTCCTCTATGAATAATCAATAACTGCTTGCTGTGCACAGAAACCTTTTGCCCCCAAAAAGTATTTCTCTATTGACCGGGTTTTCCGAAATGAAGCTGTGGATCGAACACATCTTGCAGAGTTCCACCAAATTGAGGGTAATTTCTTGATTCCTTTTATAAACAAATTCAAAGCAATTTTAGGAATACGTGGTTCCTGTGCCTTGCATTGTGCTCCTATTAAAATTCCTGTTTTCTGGTCTCAGGTCTAGTCTGTGATCGGGGGCTTACTCTAGGTGACCTGATAGGAGTCTTGCATGACTTCTTTTCACGTCTAGGTAATACATTTAACTCTTTCTAACAGTTTACTGCTTTAAAGCTCTCATCATTGGAATTTCTCTTGTAGTCAGAAATGTAAAATTTATAATTTTCAGTGTTATCAAGGAAGTGTTAATAGAGGAAATTACTATTTAGGTGGTTCATTGTGTGAAGACCTTGGATGCTTTACTACTCTCAACATTGTTAAGGGTTGGAAAATTATAGCAAGTTCCTCTTTGACTAGCTAGAAGGCCATCCTTTGTTTTGTGGATGCCAATCTTGGTAATCCAGGCAAATCTGGAATTAGGGGTATATCAACTAGGGCAGAAGTGAAGGCAATCCAACAAGGATTAAGGTTGGCAAAGAAGTTCAATTTCAGAATATATTGGTGGTGGCTTATTCACATGTTTATTGGGGACTGATTTTCCAAGGGAGAAACTTGTAAAAATCAAAAAGAAAAAAATTAGAAATAGAAATAGAAGCAATGAGTGGATGTCAAATGCCATCCCAAACAAAGGCGGTGCTAAGGCACACTAAAGTATGTGCAGAATATTTATGTGTTTTTCTGTAAGCTATTTTCTGTTTCCAAATAATCACTTTGTGCAAATTTGGTTCCTGATATACTAATAGTGAGGCATGGCCCTGGAGTTGTGCAGCTGATACCCCTAGGTCTTGTATTATGTCTAGACTAATGCTAGTGTCATGGTACTGGCCATCATGAATTTAAAATCTAAAAATAAAATAAAATAAAACTCCTTTAACCCTTTATGTGCACAAAAAATTATTCATATGCTTTTCTTGTGATTTGGCATCTATGTGGAATACAAGGCATGTAATTAGCATTTCTCTTAAAGGTCTAATGAGACATTTGCTTAGAAGCATTTGCATGGATGCATCCTTGGGGGTAAGACACTAGAGCATATTTAAAAATCTTTGTATGTTGAGTTTCCTTGATATCTATTTTCTGTAATATAATTTGCTCATTGTGCATCCTGGTTCTTGTATAAAAAAATCAACTTATCTGGAGATGCCCATGTATGAGCTGTTTTGAGGCTTGGTATATGCCAATAACATATTATTTGGTACGGCTTAGACACCACCTTGGCTACACATCTAAAATCCCTCGGTGTCCTTTATGCATCTTATAAGCATGTCTTAGAATCGCAGTAGGATCTTTTTCAATGGCTAAATAGAAATATTCTCTGATTTTTTTTTTCATATTTTTTATATCATCTACTCCTTTTTAATGGAAAATATTTAGTTAAAGTAGTAAGGAAATAGAAGAAATCTGTAAAGGGTATTTTGGTGTTATTTCAAGAAGCATGCCCAAACATCGAGTGTCACAGAAATGCAAATGTGTCAAGATGGATATCTATAAAAAAAATGTGCCAAGATGGATGAATGGAAAAAAGCTAGAAAAGACGGTGAGAAATGAAGTCATTCAAACTAACCTAGGAGTAGTAGCTCCAATAGGTGATAAAGTGAGAGGTGGACTAAAGATGGTTTGGTCATGTGCAGAGAAGATTATCTACAATGTCCATAAGAAACAATGTATTACAAGTCAAAGGGGGCTAGAAGCTCTAGGAGTAGACTGAAAGGGACATGGGTTGACTTAGCAAAAAAACATTTCTACCAAAATTAAAAAAAAAAAGGATATGGCACCAAACAGAACAGAATGGCAGAACGGGATTCATGTAGCTAGCCCCATATAATTTAGACAAGGCTTAAATGATGATGATATTCAACCTCTGCTGCAAATGTAATAATGAAAGAATAGCGAAACAAATTTATCCAGTGACTTCATTTCCCCATTTCATGTGTTCAGGTATGTCAAAGTTGCGATTTAAACCAGCTTACAATCCTTACACTGAGCCCAGCATGGAAATCTTCAGGTAAAGAATGCCTACTTTTTACTATCAGGCACATCTAGTGCATGCTCCCATACACAAGCAACCTACATATGACTTTTTTATCTTATCAGTTATCATGAAGGCTTCAAGAAATGGGTCGAGATCGGAAATTCTGGTATGTTTCGGCCTGAAATGCTGCTTCCAATGGGATTGCCTGAAGATGTGAGGGTAATTGCATGGGGTCTTTCTCTTGAAAGGTATGAACATTTTACTATTGTTGGTAAGAAATTTATTAGGAAGATATACTAGAACATGATCCAAAAACATGTACCTTCTGTTCTTTTCCCTTTTTTGGTTCAAAACAATAGCTCATATTTTTCTCTGGTTTCTTTGTTAACCAGACCAACCATGATACTATATGGCATTGATAACATTCGAGATCTCTTTGGACACAAGGTACAGCTACTTCTGTTATTTTATACACGCTATAGAAATTAGAAACAGAAGGGGGTATCATTTTTTTTTCATTTTTTTGTGCAGGTGGATCTCAGTCTTATTAAGAGAAACCCAATTTGCCGCCTTGGAGTTGATTAGACTGGGTTCTCCGTGCTTATTATTCAATTTTTTCCCAACAATGGCATGGATAAATTCTGAMTACATTAACGCCAACAAACAATTGTTTTTTAAATGAAACTGATAACCTTGCAATCTTTTTTAATAGACTTCTGAGATGTGTATTGTTTAGAATATATTGTGATTACTAAGGAGAAAAGGTTGTTCCTTTATTTGTTGTAAATTTCAGTTCGTAGTCAATCGCCTTTTTAAACTCACTCCAACATATGGATTGGAGAAGGTTGACAACTTTAACATGGACACCTTAGGGGAAATTTTATAAGCGTCGTAAATGTATCAACAACACTGAATGTTTAAGTGATTTGAAGTTTTTACGGTACAACTAAACAAGGGTCCATTTGCTTCACGGGAATAGGGGTCTGGAATTGGAATTGGAATTTCGATTCCAACGGTGTGAATCGTGTGATTGAGTGGAGCCGGAATTTGATTCTCATTCCTGGTGGAAAGGGCATTCCCCCATTTGAGGGAATGGCCCTTCCCTCCCACTTAGGAATTAGACCTGTTAAAAAGTTGACTCAACCCAATTCAAAAAATAGGGTTTAGTGTCTCATATTTAGCTATCTGAATTTGAAAATGACCCGATTTAGAAAAAACTGGGTTGGGTCATTCGTCAATCCGTTGACCCAATTGACAGGTCTAATTGAGCTACTTACGTATTTTTAGAAGTTTCCATTAAAATCTTTGCAATTGCTTAGTGTTTTAAGCATTTTGTTTTATGTTCGGTATTTTAAGGTTTTTTTTTTTAATTTTGGCATTTTATGTAATTTTTTTAATTTCAGTTATTTTCAGGGTTGATTCAATTGACACGTGGGTCAACCCCAAAGGCCCTAATCTGAACATTTAAGGTTAGGGTATAGCATTTACTGACCCAATCTGAAATTCAACTTGAATCCGAAATCAATTCGAAGTGTCTTGACCCAATACGAACCTGACCCAACCAATCCAATTGCTACGTCTAACGAGAATCCATTTCATCTGATTTTAATAAATTTCAATTCCGATTCCAACTGTGAATCAAACGAATTCTAAGATATTCACATATAATAAGCACTGGTTGGGGGATAAAGGAGGGTTGTGTTAGGCTGGCAACTGACATTAATTTTAGTCACTTTTGTCGTGATGGATGATGGATCACACGTAACAAAGTAACAGTTTTCATGAAGTATAAACTCTAAACTATTTAGAAGAAGAGATGCATATATATCTTAGAAAACCAATATACATTTTATTAATATTTAAAAGTTTTAATTGCGAAGTTCATTAAAGTGATTTAAAAAGTTAATATTTGTATCTTAGATCAAAGTATTGATATATATATATATATATATATATATTGGTTTAGATTTATTGATATTCTAAATTATAAGACGTTGGTTATTTAAGGTGCTGTTTGGTAAGTCTTTTTTGAAAGATCTTCTGGAAGACCTTTTTTTTGGTATTCAGTGTTATGCACCAAGGTTCAAAGTATCGGAAACGCAAGGTGTATCGGAAATGCAATTTTAAGAAGCACATCAGGATATGTTTTAGATACGCATAGATGCGGATGAAAAATCAAGATACACATAAATATGATAGAAAATTCAAATAAATCATAAAAAATATATTAGTAATAATACTTACAAGTTTTATATGATTGTAAATAAGTCATTTAAATGTAAAAGACATATTTTAATGTTTATATAAAATTTGACATATCAAGATATAATTAGTAACCGTTGAAAAATGATTGAATAACTAAAATGTGAAAAAAGCAAAAAAAAAACTAAAATGTGAATATACATCAATTTTCAAATAACCAATATAATTTATCTTAATATTTATKAGTATATAAATTTTAATAATTAATTTCAGCATTTAATAATAAACACTACTAAGAAAAGATAAAATTTACTTAAAACAAAAAAATGTATATAATTATAACAACCAAATTAGAGTGGCTTAGTGGCAAAGTTTTGGGTGTTAAAATCTAGTGACCAAGGTTCAAGTCTTGCTAATGTTAACATTTGTAGTTTTTATACTAACGAAGCGAAATTAATGAGAGAGATCATCATTAATTAATGGAATTAATGAAAGAATTGGAATTAGGCGCTAAAATTCAAAATTGAATTTAAATTTGTCTAAATATAGGAGTAACAAATGACATTAATGAGAGAGATTTGGTATTAAATATAAATTAACCAAATTAATGGAAGAAGGGGAACTGAAAGGATTCGGTTTGTATCGGCCTGTTTTGGGTTCGTATCGACCAATACATATCCGAAACAACCCGATACGGGCCCGTATCAACCGATACATATGAAAAGAAACAAAATAAATGATTTAGATGTGTTCCGCGTGTCGAGTTCTTATCGAAATGGTACGTATTGGCCAATACAGACCGATACATTACGATATTTTGAACCTTGCTATGCACCATTAATAACTTCCCTTGACAATTTTTCCCCAAAGTGYTGGTTGTAGGATTTGATTCCACATCAATGCTGGAACAAACCAGCTAACACACCACAAAGGCAGCCCTCGGTATCTCCTAGATGATCTAACAGCCAAAAGACACAATGAGCTTTTACATAAAGATCTTGGCAGCTTACAACCCATTTGGTTGGAGGTGTTTTTCTGCACGTCTTTCTGCATGAAGATGAGATGAAATAAGTGGAAAAGTTCTATTTGGAGTTTCCCAAAAATAAACTGAAACGGGCTTCCTGCGTCTTTTCAGAGTTGCATCACTTGGCAGTTAGATCATTTCCTATCCAAATAGGAAAAGATGGTGTCATTTGAAAAGTTTTTTTTTTTTTTTGAAAAATCTTTTGGAAGATCTGACAACCAAAAGACGTAGTGGGCTCACAGCCCGTTTGGTTGGAGGCGTGTCTTTCTACACGAAGACAAAACAAAATAAGTGAAAAAACTCCATTTAGAGTTTCTCGAAAATGGTCTGAAATGAACTTTGAGGCTGTCTTTCAGAGATTATATCTTTACCCAACCAAATGGGAAAAAATAAATGCAAGCTGCCGGGCTTATAAAAAAGCCAACAGCCCACACAAAAAACACACGCCAAATAGAACCTATTTTATCTATCAATAATTGATCCGCAATTTCACTTCAACCTAAATCAATCAATAATAATAAATTAAGAATGCCATTAAATTTCTAGTATTGTACTGGAGTGGAATGGTTAAGTTTCTACGTCACATGAGTGACTTGGGTAATATTAGAGTTAACTATTGGATACTGAAAATGCATGATACCTAAGAAAATGATAACCAATCAACCACCATCAGAAATGATAATCACTAGACTGGATTTCATTAAAATTTATGAGGTGTTCTTGTACCTGATTTTGCCTAAAACGATGATCAAATGCATAAAAAGTAATGGTGCTAAAGTTAAGATGTGGGAAAATGCCCGATAAGTACTCTGGTACTTTTAAGTCAAGTACCAATTTAATATTCGAATTTTAAAAATGCGATAATTTAGTACCAATTTAATATCTGAATTTTCATTTTGCAACAATCTACTAACTACCACATGTAAGATTTATGAATTGAAAATATCAAAATTACCCTTCAATACCGTTGATCAAAGCTTCTTCATAAACCGAGGCTGAACATAGGTCCTTAGATGAAAGGTCTCACCGGGGGAAGGTCCTACTTAGATACGTCGGCGTCCTCTTCTCGCAATTCATTTGATCCTCATCCAATGGTTGCCGAAGCCTGGGATGCTCTGAGACGGTCGTTAGTGTACTTCCGGGGTCATCCTGTTGGGACTGTTTCTGTCTGGACCATACGGAGGAAGCCTTCGGCTCCTTCGTCCAGATCTCTCAACGTTCTCCTTTCCTTTTTGTCCTTCATTTTCGCTGAAGATCTGATTTTCTCAACAAATACTTTCGTTGATTTAGTCGGAATGTTTGCCATAATGCGGAAATTTCAGATTTTTTTGCTTCTTTTTTGGATTTTGTTTATTCATGCATGTCAATTGTCATTGAGGTGTAGGGTGTAATTCATTAATCCTTTCGGTGGATCTTGATCTGGAATTCATTAATTTTGTTTTGTTAGCTTGCTCTCTTCCATGTCTGTTTGGATTAGCCTTATTTAATCTGCATTTATTATCTCCTGGTTAGATAATGCGGTCTATCTTGTCAAATCCCGAGCCCCCCTCTCTCTCTCTCTCTCTCTCTCTGTTTGTCTGTCTAAAAATATCTTCTTGTGAAAATCGAAACTTTTTTCTTTTTTGGCAATAGTGTTGATAAATTAGACAGTTATATATTCTGATTTTGATCTCTTGCTATTTTCGTTTGTTATATTGACATTTGGGTTGTTTCATCTTTTAAGCAATTCAGTTTCTTTAGTTAGAGATCCTTCTGCGGATTATAAGCCTCTGTTGCATCGGAAGAGGAGAGACGAATGGAGGGAGCTCGAGATACGGGTCTCAAGAATGTAGCTTCCACCTCCTCGCTTAAGGGGATGGACGACTTTGATTTATCAAAGCTTCTTCATAAACCGAGGCTGAACATCGAGCGACAAAGGTCCTTCGATGAGAGGTCTCTCAGCGAGTTATCGATTGGTCTCGCTGCCCGAGCAGGTGTGGAGAACTTAGAGGCCATGAACTCGCCGGGGGGAAGGTCCTCCTACCTAGATACGCCGGCGCCCTCTTCTCGCAATTCATTTGATCCTCATGCAATGGTTGCCGAAGCCTGGGATGCTCTGAGACGGTCGTTAGTGTACTTCCGGGGCCATCCTGTTGGGACTGTTGCTGCTTTGGACTATACGGAGGAAGCTTTGAACTATGAACGTGGCGGTGGCACGTCTTCGACTCCCAATATTCGACGCAGCATTCGAACCGAGTACAGCAACAAAACCGACATCAGTACCAGCAGCAGCAACTTGCCGGGTGCATACCGGTGTTCTTCGAGGAATAGTCGGCCAAGACACAATTCAGGTGGCATTTGCCCGTATGGCTGATAAACAAAGAGCGAGGAGAGGCGAGATGATGAATAGGCGGCACTGTCTGTCTGGTTTTATAAAGAAAATTATATGATATTTGAAGGGTATTTTTGTTTTTTTGCATACAATTTAACGGCTGGTTAGGCGGGTATTAAATCATTGTAGAACGAAAATTCGGGTATTAGATTGTTGCATTTTAAAGCTTAGGTACTAAATTGGCAATCAGCCTAAAGTACAAGGTATTTATCGGAAATTTTTCCTTAAAAATAATATCAGTCAAGGATAAAAACAATGTTCATCATCTTCCTCTTGCAATCTATTGACCGCCGCTGCCTCTGACAATATTGCCGGAGGTGGRAAGAGGCAGAGGCGGCACTGGTGGTCATTCCTCTGCCCAATGCTGCCACTACCGCCCATCTCCACCTCCATCTCCAGCAACATTACCAGAGGTGGATGGAGGTAGAGGCAACAACAATGCTGGTGGGCGGAAGTGGTGGCATAGGGTAGASGAATGACCACCAACACTGCCGCCGTCTGTCTCTGCCCACCTCTGGCAATATTATCAGAGACAAAGGCGGAAGTGGGCAGAAGTAGCGGCATTGGGAAAAAGAATGACCACCAGCACCGCCGCCACCGCCTGCCTCTGCCCACCTCCAACAACGTTGCCAGAGGTGGAAGCRGAATAGGCAGAGGCATTGCTGGAGGCGACGACGACACCGGTGAATAGATTGCAAGAGGAAGAAGATGAACAGTGTTTTGTCCTTAACTGATATTATTTTTAAAAAGTTAACCTATTTTTTATTTTTTTTAAATATATTACTTTTATTGATATTAAGGGCCAAAATTTGCCCTTAACTGCTATAATCCCTTTCAGAAATACAAACAAGTCCTTAATTTTGATAAAGTAGGTAAATTGCACAAATTAGTGTTTTTCAAAGATCTCCCACAAAAGTTCAATTGAAAGGAGTACCAACTTATCATTCTGTGCCACCTGGACAATTTACGGTTTTTACATCACATCACATAATACACATGTTTTGATCAGAGGTAACCTTTCGAATTCAACAGAGCCATTTGCAACCTGAGAATCAATGGGGATTCTTTAAAACCTGGGCTTCCAAAGAAAGACGACATAAAGGGAAATATGATTTATAGTCCAGGCAGAGGAAATTGGGTGCTCATAGATTCAACTCTCCTTTGTAAATCCAACACACGGTCCTTCAGCAAGAAACCTGGAGAGCTAACAAACTTCAGGAAATCCTGAAGCTTTGACCCTGTCACAGAACGTTTTGCTTCAAATGCGATCTGCACTCCTTCATGGATAAAGTCTGCAGTTGCCAAGAATTCCTTCTCTGTGAATCCTCTAGTAGTCATAGCAGGTGTACCAATGCGAATGCCACCAGGGACCAGTGCGCTCTTATCACCTTGGTAATCCAAAATTAGAAAGCAAATATAAGTAGAGTCGCACAACACACACAAACAGAGAGAGAGAGAGAGAGAGTTACCAGGCACTGAGTTCTTGTTAAGAGTTATGGCAGCCAAGTCTAATATTTTTTCAACTCTAGCACCGTCAATACCCTGTAGTATGAAACAGTATTTATTCACTAAAAAATGCTTACAAGAAAAATGATTTTTGGACCACATTTTGATTCTTTGCCTATGGGCAAGATCTTGGGAATGCAAGAAAAAACAAAGATTATTGATTTTTCATACGATCTTGGTGACATTGCACTCCTGAAAAAGTAATGTATTGTATTAAATAGAGGTACATCTGGTCCGCATGTACGCCAAGGTGACATTGCATTATTGCATACTACTCATTCCTGTTCAAAAGTAAAAGCTCTGGGAAACCCAACTCTATGTATCGTTGTATCCAGATCCTTTTTTTTTGGTTGGGGGTATGTGTCAAAGCAAACAATCATGATATCAAGCTCTCTAAAAGGTCACCCATGTATAAATTGTGGTACTATTGCCAAAAAAAGTGTCACAAATTTAATTTGCAGGGGGAGAGGTTTGAAACTGCGAACTTTCTGCACTAGAATGCTGCAAACATGTAGAGATTTAGTTGTGTTTTAGATGTACAAGAACGAGTAGATAATACTGATAACTTTACCAGTGGTCTGAGATCCACCAGAATCAGATGATTGTCACTCCCACCAGAAACCAGCTTGTATCCCAATTCAATTAATCGGCTTGCTAGAGCTTTACAGTTAGATACCACCTGCAAAGACGGTCACCACGCTCTTTTAAGATAAGATATCTAAAGAAGCTTCAATTGGGAAAAACAAATAAGTTTAGCTGGAGGACTGAGAAATATCTAGGTGATTCTCTTCAAGATGCAAAGAAAGTGAGATACCTGTTCCTGATAAGCTTTAAAATCGGGAGATTGAGCATACTTCAAACACACTGCCAAACCACCAATGGTGTGGTTATGAGGACCTCCCTGTGAAGAAAATTCATTGCATTGCATTTCAATCAGTTTAGGGCATTAGAACTTTAATGGAAGTGAATGAAAATCTAAATAATGAAAAATGAAGCTAATTCAAATGTGATATCACAGACAGAGTCCCTACACTTTCTACYCTAACATACCTGTAAACCTGGGAAAACAGCATTATTAATGGCAGATTCTAAGTCAACTCCAAGAACAGGATCCTTCCTGAAGAAGATCATGCCTCCTCTGGGCCCTCGTAGGGACTGAAATGAATTCTCTTGATTTAATAGGTCATACAGCATTATAGAGCAAAGTGAAGAGAACAGATAAAACTTCATCCAGAAAATTGATAAACTTCAAAATACAACTTTCAAGTGTAGAGTACCTCATATTGCAATCTCAGAACATGAAGCAAACACATGACTGTAAAAATGGATACAAAATAATGGCTCAAGCTTAACACAGAATCTGAAGTTAATCTCAGTTGTAGATTGGGCTAGTGGTGTAAAGCAGAAGATAATACTGGGGACTTAATTTTTTTGTTGACTATGGACTTATGGAGTTCCCATTAGAAGGAAATCAGAGAAGTTGCCCCAAGCTTTTGGTAGGGATGATGAGGATCAAGAGATTTAACATATTTTATTGCTTACGATTTCACATAAACATTACCCATCCTGAAAAGCATCATATCAGATGTATGCTAAACCATGGAAGGTAAAATGAAAAGGCATCAACTTCATGTAGAGACTTTCAAAATACACATTCACAGAGTGAAGAACCATTCACAATAAAAGGGCCTATGTAAATGTAGCATTTTGGTGAACCATTCACAACAAATAAATGAATGGCTAGATGCATACCTTGTGTGTCGTCGTAGTTACAACATCACAATATTCAAAAGGGTTACCAACCACAGAAGCGGCAACAAGTCCACTTATGTGAGCCATATCCATCATGAGAAAAGCACCAACAGCATCTGCTATCTTCCAAAGTAAAAGCAAATGACAATGATTTAGATGTGAAGATTCATGAGAGAGGGAACCATGAAATCTTAACATAGAAGAGTACCAATTTACAACCAGAAAAACTACATTTGACCCATACCTTCCTCATACGAGGATAATCAAAATCTCGTGGATATGCACTAGCACCAGCAATAATGAGCTTTGGCCGAAATAGAATAGCTGTTTTCTCAAGCATATCATAATCAACAAGGCCTGCTTGTAAACAAACTTAAAATAAACAACCAATGCAAAACAATCTTAATGGATTGCTTAACTTATATTCAGAGGATCTAAAGAAACAAATGCACACCCGTAGATTCATCAAGCCGGTAAGGCATGGACTCAAAATAAATCGATGTGCCTGATACCCGCCTTTTAGGAGTCATGAACCCATGAGATAAGTGCCCCCCATGTGGTAGGTCCAACCCCTAGCAGTCATGTATACAAATTAATATGGTTCCCGTGCAAAAAAATAAAATGTGTCTGTGTATCAATATAGAGTAATAAGGGTTAACTTACCATTATTCGGTCATGTGGACTAAGAAGTGCGGTGTAGACCTCAAAATTAGCAGGAGATCCAGACAAAGGCTGAACATTTACACCCCATTTTTCCCCATCTAAGTGAAATGCTGATAAAGCCCTTTGTTGGCAGAGAGACTCTAACTCATCAATGTATTCATTGCCACCATAATACCTAAGAAATATTCATATTGATTATTAAGAGCATACCAGCATTAAAAAAAGGAAAGAAATGGCCAAAAAAGAAGAAATAGAAAACAACARTGTCAAACAAACAGTTCATTGGAAAGGTTTACCTTTTACCAGGCAGGCCTTCAGAGTACTTGTTTGTAAGGCAAGAACCAACAGCTTCCATCACTGCTCGGGATGTAAAATTTTCGGAAGCAATGAGTTCTAAACTTTTAAATTGCCGTTGTTTTTCCTTGTCAATTATTGCACGCACTTCAGGATCCGCTTCAGTCAAGCCAGAGTCTACAAAACTACTTCCATTACCTAGGTAACATACCATRTAATTACATGTAAGAGTAGCCCATTCTTAATTAGTGGTAACAGTCATCATTGTAAATAAAACAAACGAATCATCAGTTATTAATTTTATACACATACAAAGCCAATACTTATTTCATATTGCAACTGCAAACTACTAGTACAGTAGTACTGACTATTGACTACTTCCAAACTACTAGATATAAACCAGTAAATAATTATGCAAATTTGACTAACAATTATTATTATGAACCAAGAACAGAATAACTATACATCAAGAAGCAAAGAGGGGTCAAAGATTATTGATTAGTGACATAAAAAGAATAAGAAAACCTTACCCTCCTAAACACTTTTAGGATGAGGTGCCAAAGATAGAAAGCATCCAAACACGGATATATCTACTTTGACCATGGTTTAAAATGTCCACAAATTTCCTAATATTTTCATGGCATATTTCCATTTCCATGGGTACTTTTTTTATCAATAACTCATAAGAAGAATTTCCATGGGTACTATTTTCCCCTATAGATATTTGATCATGACACTCAAGACTGTATAAGAATTACTAGTTCATTCCTGGGCCATCTTTCTTTTTTTTTTTTTTGATAAGTGAGTAGTTTTATTAATTCAAATAAAGAAAGTACAGTCAGCCTAGGAGGAGGCACGAGGTGTTACCTCCCCCCCAAGGACTGAAACATAAACACTAAACATACACAAGCCAGAAACACAATTACAAGGTAGCCCAAAACAGATCTCCCCTCGATACCCCTTGCTTGACCAAAGAATCAGCCATTGCATTTGCTGATCTACTGACCAACTGAACCCTAACTGTCATATTTATTGTCAGCCATTTAACTTTCTTTAACGGATCCATGTAGTGCCAACAAGCTGTTTCTACTATCAAATTGTTCACTCCAAGTTGACTGGCCATCTATATACCTTGTACMACTGCTAGTATCTCGGCCCTTATAGAATCACCAACACCACTGATCCTGAAAATAAAGACAACATGCTGCTGTCTTTGTCTCTCAGAATCCCTCCTATTCCGGATGGGCCTAGGTTACCTTATCAGCTACCATCAAAATTCAATTTTACCACTCCATCCAATGGGGGTTTCCGTTCAACTTGTGGTTTGTTCTTTGTGGAGACTATAGAAGCCACTGCTGCCAAATTTCTCCTCAAGTCATCAAAGGGGTAACCCGCCAACAAGTGTGAAGATTTCAGCCACGAGGCTGTCTTTGTCATTATGCACTCCTTGATTTCAGCAAGACTTCTTTCTTTTTCTTGAAATATTCTAGCATTTCTCTCCTCCCAAATAATGGAACCCAGTTCCAACTATTGGCAGCAAAAGAGCATGATATCAACAAATGGTTACAGTCCTCACCCTTCACTTTACACATAAAGCACCAATTTGGGGACAAACACATAAGGTTTCTTCTTTTGCAAATTTTCCACAGTATTGATCTTACCATAATAGGCTTCCCAACAGAACACTGCTATTTTAGGGGGTTGGAGCAAAGGGATTTAAAGAAAGATGCACAAGTGAAGGAGCCAAAGATGGTTAGAGATCAAACCTTTTTATACGGGTTAGGGGGTCCAAACACATCGAGTCTAGAAGCAATAAGAGCATTGAAACACAAGAAAATTCTTCATCCCTTAATCCTCTTCGAAACCCAAAATCCCAATTTAAAGCCAAAGGGAGAACAYCAAGGGGGAAAGGAACCATGAAATGGGTTTCTTTTTAAAGAGAGAGATGGAATAGAGAGAAAGGAAACGGTTTTTTAGGGGTTGAGTGCTCACCCAAAAATCTTCCCAAAAGAGAACGAAGTTTCCAAAACAAACATCATACCTTACAAACCTAAGGRATTTGGGGAGAATGCTAGAAATAGTCTTCCAGGGTGTTGTGAGCAAAGCCCTTCGGGATACCCCTGCGTCCCAACCTGATTCAAAACAGCCATGGATACTCTTCACTACTTCATGCTACAACCTCTCCCTCTCCAGGGGCCACCTCCAAAGCCACTTACCTAAAAGAGCTTCATTCTTATTCACTACATTCCCTAAGCCTAGGCTTCCTTTTTTGCTTCAACTCACCACCTCCCACCTAATCAAGTGATATTTTTTCTCTTCCCTAGGTTCCCATAAGAAGTCCCTCATCAAAGTAACTCTACCCACCACTGAGACCAAGTGCATTCTAAAGAGGTTGCTATAGACTCCATCTCCTCTCTGTTCAAATTTATTCCCACAACACAGCTCTTCTCAAAATTTATCTTCAAATTTGAGGCCCTCTCAAAGTGAATTATTAAATCCTTTAGATTCCTTACCTCCATTAGATCACAACATTCACAAAAAGATTATTATGTCATCTACAAATTGAAGATGGGTAACTAAAACTCTATCTCTACCTATTCTCCACCCTCTTAAAGACTCRGCCATATCCACTTCCAAGAGGAGAGTGAATAGGAAAGGTGACATGGGATCACCTTGTCTCAAACCCCTACTAGCTGGGAAAAAAACCATTAACTACCCCATTGACTAGGATGGAGTAATGGCAAGAGGAAAGGCAACCATTTATCCATTTGCACCATCTATCCCCAAACCCACACTTCCTTRGCACGAGTAATAAGAAACCCCAATCCACTAGGTCATAGGCCTTTTCAAGATCTAGTTTACAAACGTAACCTTGACGACTCGATCTCCTCCACACATTCATTTGCTATTAGAATCCGATCTACTATGTCTCCCCTGAACAAAAGCTCCTTGGGCTTGGCTAATAAGACAATGAAGCACATTTTTTATCCTCAAAGAAAAGACCTTATCAACAATCTTGTATACACTAGTCACCAAACTAATAGGTCTAAAGTCCTTTGGATGCTTGGCCTCTTTCTTCTTGGGAATTAAAGCTAAAAATGTAGCATTAATTCCATGGTTAATCACTAAATTATCCTCAAATTCCTTGAAAACATCAATCAAATCTTCTTTGACTATGTCCCAATAATCTTGAAAGAAAGCCATTATAAATCCGCCCAGCTCTAGTGCTTTAGATCTGTTTATGGAGAGAACAATATGTCTAATTTCTTCCTCAAAATTCCTTTCCAACCAACTTCTACTCTCTTCTGGAAGCCTTTCTACCAAGTCACACCTTCCAACTCCACTCTAGGTCCCAGTGGTCTCCTTAAGATGGATTTGAAATGGTAAACAAAACAGTTGGTTATCCCCCCTTGAGAATCAAGGACTAATCCATCAACTTCCAGTTTGGATACTAGGTTTTTCCTTCTCCTTCCATTGGCTAGTTCATGAAAAAATTTAGTGTTCCCATCTCCTTCTTTGAGCCACTTACATCTAGACTGCTGCCTCCAAGAAATTTCTTCTCTCAAAATGACTTCATCTAACTCTCTTTTCAGTTTCCATCTCCGATATCTTTCCCCAGCGTTTATGGCTCTTTGCGATTCCTTCGCATCCAATTCTTCTATTTGGGTCATCAAAGAGAATTTCATTTCTTCTATTTTCCCAAAATGCTCCCTATTCCAATCCTTCACATGTGCTCTCAATCTTTTTAGTGTTTTGTGAAATCTTACCCCTTACCACTTCACCCCCCTTAGATCTTCTCTCCATCATTCTTCAACCTTCTTCACGAAATCCAGGTGAGTCAGCCACATGTTCTCAAACCTAAAGGGTTGGGATCCTTGCCTAAAAGTCTCCTATCCTAAGCCAATGGGGCAATGATCAGATGTAACTCTAGATAGAGCTCTTGTTATTAAATCCACACACTTGTTTTCCCAGCTTTCATTGAAAAGGAACCTATTTAATTTGGACATGGACCATCCCAAAGCCCTTGAACCCATAAAGTTCTTCCCAAAATTCATTCCTTTCTTTGTAATTGCTTGGTCCATACACATTAGTTAGTGCCCAAGTAAACCCATCCTCTACCATCCTGAATTTTAACAACATTGAAAAATTACCTAATAGCTCCTCCAATACCTCCATAGCATCATCTCTTCAAAAAGTGGCAATTACCTCCCGAAGCCCCCCAAGAAGGTGCTGAAACCCAACTTATTCCTCTAGATTTCCATATGCTCCTTGCCCATCTTCTATCAATTTCAGCTATTTCAACTAATTAATGAGGTCCTTAATTAGCCTTCTTTTCCTAGCACTCCCCAGCCCCCTCACATTCCAACTGATGATTTTCATGGAGATAAAAGATTTGGCATCCCCCTTTAAGATCAGGCCCCTACTTGGAGGCTTTCCTTCTCTCCCCTCTTCCACTATATTCCAAATCTCCTTCTATATCTGATATCAAACTTTCCACCTCTAATCTTTTTTTCTTCCTTCGGTTGTTAATTGTTCCAAATCTGCTTAAGTCTGCTTTTGTTATGTTTCGCCTCTCCAAAATTCCTTGGCTTTCCTCCAAAGTTTCCTCTATTTGCCTATACTCCTCAAGGAGAGCACAAATCTAACCCCAAATCCTCTCTAATTCCTCCTTCTGTAGCTTTTCCAAGATTGATTCGTTTCCAACTTTTTTGCTACTTTGAACCCCCTGTCTTTACTGGACCTTCTTGAGCTTCATACTTTCTTACTGCTTCCTCTTTTTTCTTGTACTCCTCCAAATACATACAGATCCGATCCCAAATCTTCTCTAACTCCTCTTCCTAGAATTTTCTTTTCCACACCTCTTCCTCTTGTTCTTTGCCCTCCCTATCCCCAATTAAATACTCTCCATCCATGGCTGCTGCTTCAAGTTGAGCTGCAAAGGTACCTGTTCTAGGCATAGAACCCACATCAGTACCAAAAAAACGAATTGACAAAATTATAAAAAAGGTTGTGAGAAGTGGGCAATGACGCTGGAGAAACAACACGAGGGGGCAAAGTCACGGCTAATCCTTCCAAAAGAGGTGACTGTGGGTTCCCATTGTGTTCAACGAATGTTGTTTTAGTCCTTGCATAAGAATCTGCCCTTAGGAGTTGTCCCTTGAYTGATCACTCTGTGATCGGTGACCGAGATGTGTCTTATTCCTCTAGTCTTCTATCATTGCTGGGCTGTCCTAGTGAATTGGGAGCATATTTGGGAACCGGTATCCCCTACCTCTTCTTTATAATAGTTGCGGTAATCTCCATTTCCTTAGGTAAAGAGAGAATTTGAGAGGGCTTCTTCTGTGCTAAGTCTGTAAGTTCCAAGTCATCATTTTTCAAAATAACAGCTCGGTGTGTAAGCTCTCATCAACACTAAGTGATTTGTTTTTTTTAAGTTCCACACTTCCAATACTTGAGGAGCCTTCAAAATATGATTCTGAACTACTTTCTTGGCCATCTTTCTTTCTTTAATTAACTTTTAGTCTTTATTTTTCTTTCTTTAATTAACTTTTAGTCTTTATTTTTCTTTCTTTACATGATGTTTTCTTAAGTTGATATAGTATTTCTTGCTAGAGATTTGATGATTTAGAGTCTAGGTACTAAATTATATGGTACATGAGGAAAATTAGGAGACTAAATGGGGTAGAACAACCCTAAACATCATTTATTGTTTGACAAGGTTTAACACTGTATGAATCATTTCCTGACTTCATGTCCAAGATTAGGTAAAATTGGTCAGCAACCTGACTTCCTTCCTTGTAGATAGGTACGAAATTGATCACCATATTCAATATGTCAGAAGAGGCATATGAGGAGATGTACAGAACAGAAAATAAAGAAGACTAACTCAGTTACAAAGGAAGAGTAGAATCACTATAATGGTCCAGGATTTTGCAAGGCTCTCTGCAAGTGAGTCCTGTTCTCTTGGAATCCAGGTGAGCTTTGCATCCATACCAGTCAAAAGGTCTCTGACCTCGGCCAGATAATGGGCCAGCTTCCAAGGGCCCCCATCTTTCTCCCCAAACTAGTTGATTGTGTTTGCCAAGTCACCTTCAATGGCTAAGCATGTAAGGCCCAAGACTTTAGCAATTTGAATCCCTGTAAGGGCTGACAGGAATTTGGCCTTAGTAGAATTTGCTGTCCCTATTGGACCACTGAAGGCCTGGCAGATTTTACCAACCTTCTCCTTGATCACACCACCGATGCCGACCAATCCCTCTCTTGGGTGGAGGGATAAACCAACAGGACTGTCATAGTGCAAGGAGAAGAGTAGAGCAAATTGGTTACATTCCTCAGTAAGTCATTTAAGGAAGTTCCTTTGAAGATTTCAGCATTCACACTACACAAGTTACAATAAAAGAAGATATGGCCTATGGGCAATCAAGTTTTCAGTAGTTCTGTTCTTTTTCTCAAAGATTCAACTCTTTCTTTCTTCCCAAACACCCCACAAAACAGCATGAATTATCCCAGTAAGCTTTTTCCTCTCTTGCTAAAACCAAAGCTTTGTCATTGCCAAATAAAGTCTGAGATACACTTCGAAGCAGACAAACTCAGACCAACAATATTTAGAAAGAAGCTCCAAGCCTATCTAGTAATCTGGCAGTTAATTAGAATATGTTCAGCAGATTCACCATCCCRTAGGCAAAGAAAACAGTTATGATGTCAAACTTATTGTTGCTTAGTGAAAAACATTGTTGCTTTTTAAATTTGGATACTTGTTGTTTGTTATTTCAATTAAGAAAACAGCCTAGAAATTTTGATTTTTTTTTTGTCAAAATCCATTACCTAGGCAATGTCTAAGTAGACGCATCAGTCACGTAGCCTTTCCCTTATATCTTGACAACCATAAACATAGCACCATTTTGAGCAGAGTAATTCATCTATTTCAGTTTTCTGAGTGTCAGTTCCTTCTACTTTGAGCTTCAATGATTTAAAGGTATTCAGCATATCAAGTCGTCTTTTTAATYTGCTGGCTTTTCAGTTCAACTTTATAGAGTTTCCTCATGCAAGTCAGCTTTAAAATTTACATTCTAGAACTGGTTCATATAGCACTTCCATATCTAACATTCTTTCTTTTCTTTTCTTTTCATTTTTCTTTTTTTTTGGGGGGGGATCTAAAAACAGTGACTGGGGCTTGTCACAGGAGTTGTACATATAGCACATCAAGGTTTCTCACACAATATCACCAAATAGATATATCATTAAAATATTTCAAAGGATTGAAACATATAACCATTGAATAATTAAGTTGAAACCTAACACTCTTTAATGAATTAGTTAACAATCATGATTATTAGAATGTCAACTATGCAACATTTAACCCATACAACTCGATAGCAACAAAAACATTTCCTTCAAACTTAACCAGAAAAAATATGATATAAAACTAACTACACAAATATGAAAAAACTAAGTAATGAACATCCGTAAAAGATATTAAAAAAGATGCCTACCTCCAATTCCGGACAAAGGGGCGGAAACAGAAGATGATGGCTTCCCGGTCACTAAGCTTCCTTGAATATAAGAAGCTTTGCACGGCTTGGCTGAATTGAATCTAACCTGGTAAGTAAATCCACCACAAAAAGACACCTTGGGAGGAACAGACGAGCCTTTAGCCCAAGTGGGCTGGTGAACAGCACCAGTTACTGCAGCTCCGTTACAAGCATGCATCTTCACTTATTTATTGTATATGCACCTGTTGCCTTTCTGTATATGCAAATTAGCCAAATGAGATAATGGGTATGATATAATCATATAATAGAGCTGAAAATGCATTTTCCACAGGGTAGTTAATGGTAGTGATGCTAACCAGGCACCCTTCACCACTGCAACTAAGCACCGTATTATATTAAAACATTTAATCGCATACATTCATTCAAGTCCATTAATACTACACAGTTTCTAATATAACGCCACTTAATAAAGAACCACCCACTATTTAACCAAATTAATGTGTTGATATAACAAAGACAAACAATCCTGTTTGAGTGCTACATTAAATGGAACAACATCATTTTGTTTTCACGTAGTATTTAATCCAAAACCATTGTGACCTGAAATGGGTTCGTGCAGGTTGCAAGGTAAATCTGCAAAGGAGTTCATTTTGTTATAAAACTGAAACAACTTCATTCCAATAATTTAGTAACAAGCACAAAGAGCTYCATTTTGGATGGTGGAGTTGTGCTGAGAAAAATATAAATGGAAACTACAATGGAAAGATATTATTTTCTTGTGGCGTCCACAGAATAACTCAAGACAACGAGAATAAGAAAAATAAAATAAAGAATATAAACAGACGCTGCAACAACAGTAGAAGAATAAAAAAGGTTGCCGGGCATAGAAGCAGCTCTCAGACAACATGAACACAAAGAGAGGGAGATAGGGAGGAACCCCTGCTCCCTCCTTATTCATGAACAGAAGAAAAAGAAAGATGAAGTAGGGGCAGAACCCTTGTTTCTGTGTTTCAACGCAAAGAAGAAGAAGAAGCAAGAGATGAGTGTACCCGGTTATTGGAGGAAGAGAAGTTTCTGGCGAAAGACCGTCTTCGCCTTCTTCGATGTTGAAAACTTGGTCTAAGAACTAGCGTAATGGGTTTTCCGGCGAAAGACGAAAGAGACGAGTATCCAAGAGAGAGATATTTTAAATGGGTAATGGCGTAGTACTATGGTAAAGGCCCTACCTATTGATTGATTGACACCAGATAGCCCCACGCCTCCACAAACCATTAGGCACCGGACGCGGTCGATTGTAAAACCTAAAGAAGATATTAATACCCTTAAACCCTTGTCGAGGAATGGCAACGAGGCGGGTTCGGGGCGGGGATTCCGAGCCCGACCCCCAAATAACCTTCATCCCCGTCCTCGATCCCCGGCGCGGAAAAGAATTTCCCTCCATCCCCAACTCCAACGGGGATGAATTGCCTGTCGCAGACTCGAATCCCCGACGAACTGGAGTGTATCGGTGTAAGCTTAGGTGGGTATGTAACGGAGAGATTGAGTCTGAGAGAGAGGACCATTGTGAGAGTTCGGCGACGAGAGAGATTCCATGGGCAACGGTGATCGGTAATTCGGCGATAGCGATGGCGACGGCGATCGGCAATTCGGCGACGAAGAYGATTAATACCTTAAATGTTGGATTTAATGAGAGAGAATTGAATGCATTGAATATCTTAAAATGACCTATTTTCAA